AGAAACATTGGGGGGGGGGGGAGGAGACGATAGCATTAGTGCCACCTTTCGGACTCTACAACAACTCATACTGACGAGTAAATCTACCTTTTGGAAGACGTGGAACAGAATACGAGAGCTCTGGAGCATGTCATTGTCGAGCAAAAAGGCGAACTACACTGGCACCGATATTGCTGGGTGGGAGGGAAAACGGTTTGCTTCCGGAATGCTCACAAAAACACACACCGCAATATACCTATGGACAAGAGGTGCAGGCGCACGTGGGGGGATGACATACTAGGGGAAAAAGCCATAAAATTATTCCCAGACTTCAAAGTCTGCCATTTTGTGCGGTGAAATTATGAGGCAATTGTGTGAGTCGACGACGCAAGCTGGATTGGTTGGCACTGCTTACGTGGAGAAGAAGTCAGTGTTCCACATTTAAACACACACGCACACACACACAGGTTGTGGATCTCCGATAGGACCAAAAACATTGCCCCTGCAGCTTTGGTGAGGTCGCAAACACCGTGCAGAAAACAAGGGCTGTGCGACAGAGCAAGCCAACCGCAGACAAAGAAACAGCATTCGGCCCTCGGTCTATAAACACACGTGAGGGCGGCAGTTTGGCAGCGGTGAGGGCGGTGAGCGCGAAGGCGTGAGGTAACTAGCGTGCGGACGGTTAGCCGGCTGGTGTCCGGTGTTTGCTTGTTTTTTTTTCTCACCGATACTTCCAAGTGTCGAGGAGCTGCCACTTCGAAGGGAGGTAGTTCTCTTGGGTGGTTCAGGAGGCTGGTCTTCCTCTGCCACCTCCGCCGCCTCCTCCACAGGCCTCTCATGTCGCCTCCTATTCAATGACGACCTGCGTAGACGATAGTGTCCACCCAGAACCACCTGTTGCCTCGATTCCGTGGTGACTCGACACACACCCGGACCGATGAGGTGATGCGCGTTCAGGCGCCCCGTTTCGTGCAACGGCACTGGAATCACCATCTCCGTGTCCTGTTGCACCCTCGGTGTGTTGGAGTCGTCGAAAGCCTGCCTGGTGAGAACGAACTCGCCCGAAATGATTGGATCGGTGTCAGTGGAAATGACAGAGCCCTCGCGAGTCTCCAAGTCAGCCCGATACGTCTGAGTACCACCCGCGCTAGTAACCTCGACGCCAGTCACGTGGGAGGGGATCTTGGGTGTGAAGTGGCCCGTAGGTGGCAGTGATTGGTTGGGGCAAGCGGATCGAGTGAAAGAGAGGTGCGTGAATGTCTCGTGGGGGCGATGACTCGATCTTACTGACACCCCAGACGCCAGTGGACGACATTCAGGGGCTTCGGCTGTCGGCTTGCGCAGGTCCTTATTCTCGGTGCATGTGCTCGATAGATCGGGCGACCTCGTTGTACCTCCAACAATTCAGAAGGTTTTGCAATTACACAACCAATCAGGCAGTTCCGCAACCCTACTAATGAAGGCATTTGCACTGCGTCCGTGGGGTAAATAAATGCGAATAGGGTCAACGACAATTAGCAGAAAAGGAGACAATGACCAACCGCATTTTGTGATTCCGCCAGGCAAAATGATCACCCCATTTTCCCGACAAATATGCTACCTCAGGGAAAAAGTCGGCCCAACACGAAACAACACCAGCCAGATTCCACTGTTGTAACAATCGGCCGATCAATTTTGCAAGAAAAAAAGGTGGAAATGGCTTTTAAAGCATGACAGCCGCTAACGCACCCAACATTCATCAAGGGAGCAGAGGGGGAATAAACATTATCCACCCGCAAATACTAGAATAACACCAAAGTGGAAAAAAAGATATGCAACTTTATTGGGAAAGTCAAGCAGAAATGAGTGATTAGATTAAATCCGGTTTAAAATAAAAGACATAAGACACTTGCCACATCTTCCTACCTCCATCAGACGGGCATTCTTGCCAGGTGACGAGGAGAACAAAAAGAGCAAGAACCAACGAAACAAAATCAACTGATAGCTAGACTGAGAGAGACAGTTGTGACAATGAGAACCTCAACCTTTCCGACCCAATTAGTCCTGCTGCGGTTTTCCCCACGTCTCCTCCCGTTCACCGAGTCTAGGGGTTAGCACAGGCACAATTGTGGGGACACTGGAACCAGGGGACGGGGGCAACGGTTGGGCTTCACCCCACGTAGCCTCCCTGACACCACAAAGTGACACCGTCACTGGTTTTATGGTCCCTTCCTCCTCCTCTCTCCTCCTTCCCTTTCTCCAACCACCTGACTTTGCAGACCAAAGGGCCGCGCCTTGTCCGCCCGTCGACACACACTTACTGCCCGGACGAACGGCTGCCTTATGTTCGTCCTCAGCGACGTCGTCTGTGTGTTCCAGAGGCAAGCCTGTCATCCACTTTCTATCAGCCTCAATATCCACCTCTACGGTGTCTCGTGATGGCGAGGGACCTTGTCTCGTCGTCACGGAAGCTACCTTCTCCACGACAGTCCAGAGCGACTCAGCGTCCGCAGCGCAATTCTGTGGTTCCAGGGTCTCGGGACCTTGCGGTTGAAATTCCAACTCTTCAGCTGAAACAACAAGCAACCGTCGATTACTGAAGATTCGCAGATAGCCCCTGGAAGTTAGTATCTCAACCACTGTCACTCAGATTAAATTAGCACTACAACACACAGGGCGAATTAAGATGAATTGTGCTGCCAATATGTAACTTGGGGCTCAAACCGCCCACTCAACTTTATTGTCTACTTGTACCTCTGCTATCATTACCCTCGGACCACGAGCATAGCTTTTTAAGAAGAGGTGGCGTGGAAAGGGTTCACAGGATGGGATAGCGTTGGTGTCGGTGCATTGGACAACACAAAACCAACATCAACTACAACGGCGATTCACAATCGTGGCCGAGTTGCTGGTTATTGTGAGTTTAGGGCCGGGGAGCACAAAATTGACTGACTAGTGATGGCAGTACGCGACTGGAGAGCGAATGGACTTATCGTCTCAACACAACCAGAAACACCTTCGAGTTACCCAGTAGGCGAAAAGAAGACGCGAGCGGTGACAACCATGTTAGGCAAACTTTACCTGGCAACGTGCGAGAACGAAGGGGCGGTGAAATGGCGACCGGTGCGGGCGGGCGGGTGGTGGAGGGTGGGTAGGGTAGGGAGGAAGGAAGAGAAGGAGGGCGGTAGAGGTAAGATGCGTGCCACCGCAACGGAAACAGGCAGCCCCGTGGCTAGGTGATGTGCGAACACGCACGTGCGTTCCCCAAGTAGGAGTTAGCAGTACCTCACAGGGATCGTAGCTGAAGCTCGAGACATGTGCTGGTGGGTATTAATCGATGACTCAGGCAGGGGTGAACAAGCACAAACAAGGGGAGTTTGAAACACAACAAACTAAGTCCAATTTTTTTTAAAAAAAAAACAAACAAAAAGAATGCTTACCATCTAGGGGTGCGCTGGACGAAGTAGTGTCTACAAAAAATGGATAAAAAATGACAGGCTTTCGTTGTCGACCCACACGATGGTCAAGAATTTGTGGAAACCCTTGTTGATTTTTGTTTGACCAATCACGGTGGTAACACAAGGTCGGGCCAAGGCTAACCTCAGGGACACTAGGAGATGAGCTGAAAGTGTGCCGTTCGTGTAAGGGGTGTGTCAGATATAGATATTTGGATCTCTTCAAGACGTCTACCGGTACACATCTAATCATAAAGTTAGGGGGAGGGGTTAACGCGAAATTAGAAAAGTGATCGAGGTACCATCCGTGTGTGAAAAAGGAGTTGGCAGCATGTGACACGCATGAACTAGGCAGGTTCTGATTTGTTTGAAGAACAGAGGGGCGGTGGGTGTTTGATTGGTGGCGCAGACCACAGCAACTCCACTGCCTTGAACCACAACCGCTGACTGCCTAAGAGTTTGGCTTGGATGCGTCCTTGTTTAGAGGGGAGCTGACGAGAACAGTGAAAACGCCGCTGAAACGAGTTGACGATAGCGTAAAAGCACTGGCTTCGCTCTACCAGCGTGTGTTTGTTGAGGGGAACAGAAAAGGACATTAGCTGGTTCGTTTCATTTAATTTCACTACTTCGACCGGGTCTGGTTATTCGGCAAGAACACTACCGCTCAAGTGATGAAAATCTGCATTTTTTCCAATTTGCGCGCGCTTAATCGTTAGCGTTGAAGTCGCGGACGCAACGACTCGGCACAGTGACACTGTTAGAAGCCCCAATTTCACCTCTTACCAAGACCAGCAAAAGATACTTCTGTCGATAAGAAGTGCAAGCACACACACACACACCTCCAACAGCGGCATCGGCAGCAGCAGAGTGGGGTTCCGATTCAACTGGCAGCGAAGACGCTGCCGAATCGTCGGCTTCAATTTGATCCATCAGAATGGCTGGCACGGCAGACTCGACATCGTTGCTGCGTTGTGCCTTCTCGGCCACCAGAACTTCCTCGTCGACGCCTGTTGACGACAATGGAAGATACGAATTAGAATGGGTGGTGTGTTGCACTATGACCACGACGCAAAAAACGCTCACCCTCGCCGCTGTACGGGCCCGGTGTTGACGCGGCTGCCACATCGACGCTATCGAAGTCCAGTTGATCCGCCAGTTCCCCGAGAGCAGCCTGCCTCTCCTCCTTCGTGGTGGCGGCGGCCGTGGTGTGTGCGACAGCTTCAACCGGAGTTGTCCGCACGCAGATGGTCGATTCAATCACATCGCCGTCCGGAGCGGGCTCACGTTGGTCCTCCTTCTCCGGGTAGTAATCGTTTTCCACGTAAAGCGACGAATCTAACAGGGAGAAGACGCGGTGCGTATTGTGAAACCTCGAGCAGGGGACGAAGAACCCCACATGAGACTGACGCGAACGTACCCATGGCATCCTCATTTTCGGCTTCCTCGGCCTCCAGACTGCGCAGGGCGTGGGAGAGCTCGCGGTCGTTCTGCACAAGGCTGATGTTCTGCATGCTCTGACGCAGCACATCCTCACGACCGACCTGCCTCAGGGCTGCTGCAAGTGCTGTGCCTGCCGAGGCAAACGAAGCACCAATGCTAGCAATATCTTTAAGATCGCACTTAATCGTAACCAATCAACACAGCGTGCAGAAACCTTAGCAAACTCTAGATTTGCACCACTAGGAACTCAAGCAAATTGAGTTGGATCGTCGGGCATATCCCCTTTGAGTGATGAACCATCAAGATGAGTGTTGCCCGCGCCACTTACCAGAAGCCCGTGGGCCGAAGCGTTCCTGCCACAGCGAGAGGCACGTGAGCGCCTTCTTGTAGTCGTTGTCGAAGCCACCGGCACTGGCGTGGATGGCGTTCACGTCGTCTTGAGTGAGGCCCAAGTGAGGAGCCAGTCGGGTCCAATCAGCGCCCAGATTCTCCGCGACCTTTTTCACGTCCAGATCCGACCGGGCAATCGACTCGACCAATTCTACAGACACAATGCCACTGCTGCATGACTGGCGCAAACAAACTCAACCACTTATGAAACTGAATTCTGTCGCGCTTAAAACCCCGCTTTGGGATTAAAATGGGCCGTGTTTAGAGGCGTGAACAGGCTTCGTGTGTTAGCAAGCGCGGTTAGATATGGCAAAAGGAAACCAAGACAACGAAAAACCCTGCAATTCTCTGGACTTGGCTTCCTCTGGCGACAGGTGGCGGTCATGAATGGGGATTAAAGCCAGGGAAGGAGAACGAATCGACTAAAGCACGTAGCGCTGAATCGACTAAGGGCCTTTGTATGTGAGTTGCCATCCAATTTCAGGGGTGATCGTGTCACACGTCGCGAGGCCCACTAAACACGCGTCAATGGGGACCCCTTCTAAAGCACATTTCGCGCGCCGATGCGGTACACATTTAAGTGTTTGTTATCGCCAACTACAGCGCCTGAAATGGAGTATTTTGATGGCAGAGCGGACAAACGAGCTGTCGAGAAGGGTGTGTGCGATAGCGTACTTTGATTGCGAGGATCCAAGACTGAACACATACACACACAGAGAGAGAAAGTGAGGCCCGGTTGTGAGCAACGGACAAGTAATGTAGGATGGAGAGCAGATGTGTGGTGAGGTGCGCGATGACAACACGTTAGAGTTTGTCGGACTAGCTGGTTGGTTGGTGGGGGAAAGACGATACGCAACTTACTGCATTTGCCAACTGGGTGGCCAATGGAGCCACAACCTGAAGCCAAATCACAAGTCATTACAACTGAATGCACCTTCATCAGTTAAAGGTATTCAGACAAGTTGGGAGGAGAAGTTAAGGGAAAACTCACCTTCCTCTGAGGAGCCGTGTTTTAACACACCATTGACCAACGACGTCCTCTCCCCAAGGGAGGAGTGTTGATTGGATTCACCGATTTTGGGCGTCGACATGCGAGGCAGCATCAGATCAACCACACACAACGGCAGAACCGACACGCCTCTGTAAAGAGAAATAACGCGACCTCAGACGACACCAATGGCCACAAGATAATGCCAAGCAAGCTTACCCGGGCTGCCTTTGCTGTGGCATGAAGGCGAGCTGGCCAGCTGGCGGGCCATTCAAGTCCTTGATGCGAATGAGCATATTCAGCCGATTCTCCTCGAAGGCCCTGACACTGGCGAAACGCATCTGATGGTCGCCGGTGGCGCCGCTAGCGTCGCAGGCTTGTCCCGCCACAGGCACGAGGTTGCCGGCCGTCTCGATCCACACCGGCCGATCGTGGAGGAACTCGACTAGATTGGGGGGGCCGCGAGCCACCACCTCGAAGCCCTCCTGGCACTCCAGGGTCTTCTGCTCGGTGTCGTCGGTGAGGCACACGCAGCGGATCTGCGCCTCCTCGGGATGGTGACGCCGCGCGTACACGACGAACTGGCCGAGGTAGGGCACCGCTGTTGCCTCCCGGTATACCCGGGTGGCCATCTCGGAGACCTCGGAGAGATTCGGGCAATCGATGAGCCAGAGTCTGCAAACGCACACGCAAAAAAGGCACACAAGTTATTATGTGAGTTTCCCAAAACCTAAGTGCGCACACACGAACAGTCCACAAACCTTGCGGAAACGGTGGTAGTGAAGGAGACGCAGTTTTTCTGCAGCGAGAACGGTGAGCTGCCCGTGATGTCCTCCCAGATGGCCGGCGCTGTGCCCCCGGTGATTGAGCACAAGAGACGGACAGTGGAGAGATCGACAGGTGACTTTTGCTGCTGTTGTTGTTGTTGTTGGCTGCTAACAAACGGCAGAGGGATGGAGACAGTGATGGGTCGGTGGAATTTGCGCCGCCTCGGTTCGATTGTGACGATGGGCGAAACGGCGATGCGTGGTGAGCCGAGGCAAGCCGCCACGAGGCTGGCGTCCACCGGGTGCACTTGGAGACCCACACGAATCTTCTTCTGCAGGGCACCCGGAGGGAAGGTGACTTGGACCTGGGGGTCCACCGTGGAGGTCATCACACAGCCCTCCGGACCAACGAGGACCAGATCCTGGCGACAGCGCGTAACCAATGCGAAGTACTGGGGTATGGTGTTGGTGAGAATGCGGTGAACGCGTCTTTCGCGCAATTCCGATGACGGAATAGCGTCGGCTGGCGGAAGAGAGGGATAAAAGAGAAGTGCGTAAATTCCCTCTAAGGGAGGGCAATGCCAGGATTAAATAACCGATCCCAACGTACCAAAGTACTCCCCAAGGGAGTCCTGAACAGCCTGATCGGTGGGGTCCATCGGATGCTCCTTCCACGTCTCGCCGTTCTCCGAGCGCAGGACGACAATCTCGCGTTGGTTGTTGTTCAAAGACGCGCAGTAGGGGATCTCCATGAGAATGGGGGCGTTGAAACGCACCCCCACGGGCCCAACTTCCACAAGGCTACACACACGCAAGACAATCACATAAAACTGCATGCTGTTACAGTGCTGCCTCTTTTTCAGGTAAACAAAATAGTTCATTAGGTACTGATCGGAAATCCCTAAAGTGTTAGTGCAGATTTATAAGGCGACAACAGCTCATAGCGATTCACACCACTTTCGTGCGCCTGCATGTAAAAAAACCTTGTCACCACCCTAATAAACGTAGTTCCCTGGGTTCGACTGCCGTCATTCCGGTGGTGAATACAATCCGTGGCCCTGTCATGGGATTTCATTGGATGGCGCACAACGCTAACTCACATTGCTGAGGTTACAGAGCGGATGGAATGTCAACAGACCAAAAGCAATGCTTTGGACGATGGGTTAACTTAGCCTACACAGCAACCGCCAAGCCGCAACGACAACTCACCGACATGCC